GTAGGTCTACTCTGATTCGACGAAAAACGAAGTTTCGGACGAAACTTCGAACATTACCTACCACAATGGCATTTATTACGAACGAAAAAGGAATGAAATGAGCCAGAAATTAGTATGAGATGTACTGTTTGACATCGATATTTTCGGAACCCTACTCTAATTGTACAATCCGCACGAACGAAAATTCGAGTTTGACAGATTATTCTTCGGACGTTTAATGTCATTTCAACGAAACCAAAATAGTTATCGTTTGATTTTCGTTTGGGTTAAATTTATTGAAAAATGAAGGAAAGTAATTATAAGTCTTCGTTTTGTCACGGTTTCTTTGTGTGGGCAACACGTAGGGCACCAAAAGAACTACTTAAATGACGATATAAAATCAATGTACAGTCAGCTCAAATAGTTCGTTAACACGAACCTATATATTTTATATGTCTATGAGAGTTAGTAACATTTAGGTTAATCAAATACTTATTTGAATAACTTATGTATTGAACATAAATGTTTAATGAGTAATGTTTTATTTTAAAACTAATAATACCGCTAGAAAAATTAACTTAAGTATTGCTAGTATATATTTTCGCTATTCTTTCACATCTATTACTATACCAACATTTATAGATAAGATAATTTTTTTCAAAAATATATTGTTAATCATCATAACACGAAATAATTTAGTCTCTTCAAATTCTCATGTAGACATTTATAATTTTTAAACTGACTGTACTAATATAATACGAATAAATTTGGTTGTCATTATTTTATACATAAATGTCAATAAATGACAAAAAAAAACATTCTAAAACTTTTTAACTTGGTCGTATAATAAATTTTTGAAAGGAGGTTCTTATCCTGGTTAAGATTTTCCATCTTAAACGTTAATATTAAAAGATTATTCATGATTTTCTTGATGATTATGTGTGCTAAGCCATGGTATTATGATTTTAGTAATGTAATTACTTAAAATAAAATTTTATATTTAATTTCGAATCTAAACCTACTTAATGCCCATTTATTTATCTTCACTTCATTCGTTCATTGTAGTTCACGAAAGTTGTCTATGGTTCCGAAAACGTTGTTTGCCGCCGCAAATCAAACGAAATTTCGCATTCGAGAACCGGAGTAGACCTCCAGGAATAATGTCTTTCGAACTACAACATCGACCGCCCCTACAAAATAATCCCTGCACTGAAACTCAATGAAAACACATCTTACTAAAACAAACCAATTTCCGTTACAGATATCCTTACACAGAATAAATAATGAGCCTAAGAAAATGATATCCCGGCACACATCACCGACGTACACGAACGGGGATCGTGACGTCATCCTAGAGCAGAGTGCGATGGGGATTCCGAAGAATAGTTCCCCTATCCTGGATCCCCACAAGACGACCGACGTCAGCACTAAAAGCAGCCCCATTGCTGTCGTGGCTGACGGAGAAGTCGTTGTCTTTGATGACAGTGATGACTGGAAAGGTAATTGTTTATTTTTTTTTTTTATAAAGGTGAATGCAGATTTTTTTGGTGTTTACCTTTCATTTGTTGTTGTGTTGGTCAGTCCATTTTTTACGCAAACAGATAACATATTCAACTGATTATTCAATAGTTTCAAAATATTATACAATGATAGCTTTGGGTAATGGAATTGTAAATATTTAAAAAAAAATGTCCTCAAAATGGGTCATAAAACTCTGCGTTCACTTTGTCTTGATAGTGAAACAGAAATAGATAAATTGGCTTTAAAAACAAAATCAATAAAATTGTAAAGTGCTTTCAAAATTCAGCTAATTATTGTGTGACTAATACTACATGTTTAGTGTGTTTTTATTTTCTTTTATTATTTCAATCACTATTCACTTTTGCTTTACGTTTATCTTTGCTCTTGCTTTCACCCTTCTAACACCTATTTTGTGAATAATTTTAAATGTTGTAAACTTTTGTTAACACTCAAATGTTTGCGGTGTCTGTGCAATATTTGTCATCAAGCCAAACGTGTTTTTTATGTTCAAGCTGGCATAAAATAATATTTTGACGTTTCTTACTTATCGAACACAGGCTGAATTTATTTGAAATTAGAATATGTTTAGAGAAAAATAAACACATTTATTAATTTGCTATTTTTGGATTGTTTAAAAAATTACGACGGTCTTTGCTTTCACAAGTAAAATTATTTAATTGTATCTACTAGAATATTGGGTGTAATATTTTCTATTATTATTCTTTTCTTTGATTCGTATATGTAACGTCAACAATATTATTACAATGCCAAATGTGGGAACTATACTTTTTCTGTGTCATTCGTGTTCGTGTATTTCACATCATTCAGTTTGTATGATTAACAACCAAGGAGGCATTTTAGCAAAAGTTTACAACAGATTAAAATGAAACCTTAAACCATCCTATCCAATAACCATTGTTATTCATACAACTTTTTTTTCTCTTTCTTTTATTTTCAGTGATATTGAATTCTGTGTCTCTAGGTTTGAGGACGGAACCTGAAGCTAGTGACGATGAGATTGATATAAGTGTAAAGAGAACTTTAGACAATATTAAAAACGGTGATAGTGATGTGTTGAACAATAAAAGTGAGATTAGTGATGGGAGTGAATCGAGTCCGTCGCGGGATGAGGTCCGGTTGAGTGACGCGAGTCCGTCTGCCGCGTGGCTGTCCGGTGATGAAGACAAGTCGAGGGTGACCAGGGTCATTGGTGAATTGCCCATCGCTGAGTACGAGGGCTCGCCGAGAAGGTACGGCGTTGGTTCGCAGAAGCCTACCCGGTCGCCGAGGCCTGGGTTTCCACAGGTGAGAATTTTTACTTAATGTAGTTGAAATGGAACCAAATTAAAAAATTAAGAAATACAGTCTTTTATATCTTTATTTTGCCATGTGATTTGTAGCTACATACGATGTTTGTTTTGATATCTGTATATGTTAATGTAACTGGTGTAAACCGTATTAACATAAAATAAATAAATAAATAAATAAATAAATAAATAAATAAATATCTAAGTAAAAGGCTTTGGAGAGTATAATGTACGTGAAAAATTTAATGAAGGTGCTTTTTAAATATAACGTTATGGCCTTTGTCTTTATCAGGTTAGACAGAGGTGCATGTAATGCCACTTAGATACACAATGTACACCCACTTATGATGAGTTAAGTTACGTGTCCCATATACCTAATTAGGACTGAACCAATTAGCAATTACGGGCCGCACTTTTAGATTCTATGACTGGAATTTCCGAATCCCCGAAAAACATAACATAACATCACGCCTTTTATCCCCGAAGGGGAAGGCAGAGATGCACATTATGCCACTGTACAATGTAACACCCACTTTTCACTATTTATGTTATGAGTCCCATTTAATAGGGGGTGAGCCTATTGCCATATACCGGGTACAATTCCAGACTCCGTGCTACTACTGAGATGTTTTTAAAATCCAGTAATACTTTGCCCGACCCGGGAATCGAACCCGAGACCCTTTGCTCGGCAGTCGCACTTGCGACCACTCGGGCAACGAGGCAGTCGAATTCCCGAAAAATAAACCCAATAAAACCCAAGACCAACTCGGGATTTAACCCAAGACCGGCAATCACGCTTGCACACTCGATGAATGATGCAGTACATTTTTTATTTCCTAAATGGTAACCTCCAATACTATCTGTATCAGTACCTGGGTCCTCAGGTACCTACCACCGTCATGTTGTAATGACTCAGATATCTACCTACTTATCAGATTGATCCATTATCAGCGCAGTTTATATTACTCGTACTACTATTGGCACTAATCATTTGATATTCTCAGATCATAGACGTATATTTTATACTAATATTATTAGTTTAAAAATCAATTTTTCTGAATGTCTTGACTCAAAAAACCATTATAATGTTAAATCTACTTAGTCTAGCAACCTCCTATAGCTTTTCCTCCTCTCCCATCCAGAGGGTAGTGCCAGAGAACACAGACATCAGTCCACCATCAGGGTCAGCGGCCTTCGATTACCTGTACGAGTTCTCAGAGACCAGGAAGGTTTTGGAAGAATTCTTCAGATGTCCCACGAACGCTGGACAGCCACAGATCAATAATCTCATCGCTAATGATGAGATTGTTAACTTTCAGGTACGATATTTTTTTATTTTTATAGCAAATTAGGACAATGACCTCTTTTATACATATATTCTGAAGAGACCGTGGTATAAATTTAATGTAATGATTCCATTGGCGCGCATAATAGTATCTATCTATATAATTAAAAATGAATTTCCGTTCGTTAGTCTCGGTAAAACTCTACAACGGCTGAACCAATTTGGGTAATTTTGGTCTTGAATTGGTCGTGAAAGTCCAGAGACGGTTTAAAAGTGAGAAAAAAATTTTAGGCTGGCGTTATGAAGTTCGACGGGTCAGCGAGTTAATTATATAGGTACCTATTGTAAGCACTTTTAACAATGACCAGTGCAATTAGTCGTAAGTTAAAAAATCACTAGTCCTTGTAGGTAAAAAATAATCCTTCTAGGTATTACTGTGGTGTTTAAAGAAATACAATTCGTAATTTTTAGCCGAAGTAGGTATGACTTGCGCTTTTTAATCTGTTATGTTAGGTATACGTCTCATGTATCTAATACATAACGTCTTATGCTGACATAATCTATACTTCTTATTCTTACTGATTCTTATTCTTATAATTACAGGAACTAGACTATGAGCTAAGACGTCAGCCTCAAGAATGTCCATCAGAGAATGGATTGGAAGGCGGCAGCGAGTCCGAGTGGCCACACGTCTCCGACGCACTCGACTCGCCACAGACTACACATAACCACACCAATTTCTTAGGACTACAGGTAATTCATTAAAATTTAGTTCTAATTGCAACTTGAATGAAAATTATTATGTTTTCGGCTTACTCGCGTAATAATTTGACGAGGAACTCGACTAGTTTCAAGCCATGCTAGAGACTCATATTAATGAGCAGCATTTCGCTACCCGCGACGCGGCGACTGTCGCGCTGCTACAGCTTTGCTATGGCAGCATAATAATTTATTTAGTATGTACATACTGCTTTCGTATTATTATATTCGTATTATAAATTAGTATGTTTTCGGCTTACTCACGAAAGTTGAATAAAAATTCTTATTCCTAATAAGGAGTTAATTCACCTAATTCTGTAAGGTATGCAGTACTTATCAAATGAGTAGGTGCTGTCGAATCTATAAAACTTTAAAGACAACAACATCGTACGTTTTTAAAAGTGACCCAAAAATGTTAAATCATAAGAATGGCAAATTCCATAAGCCAAATCGATAAAAATAACACATGACGTAATGTAGGTCACAATTTCGAAGTAACTGTAAGATATAGTACGAGTTTTATCTCTATGGACCGATAAATACTCCATTATGCGCGAAAACAAATTTTAAGATAACTGACAAGCTTATTTGAACATTAACGTAATAAGTAATATCTAACCACACCTTTTATAATTATGTTACGATTCATATGCAATGGAACAAACCTGTTGCCAGATGCTTGCAACAGGTTGAGTCCCTAGTCCCTTCTATTATTGGGAAAAACAAAAAAATACCCCGATTTTGAAAAAATTGGATGCAGATGAGTCCCTAGTCCCTTCTATTATTGGGAAAAACCAAAAAATATCCCGATTTTGAAATCGAATCCCAAAGCTATGCTTAGTCCTGCTTACGGAGACGCGGAGAACGTAGAGGGTTACTGAGGCTCCGAGTCGAAGTGCAGGAGTAGGAACAAAGAAAATCTTGCTTGTGACCGGTTTGCTAACAACACACAATACTAATCGTTTACTAATGTACACTTATAATTTACTTAGCCTTTGTCCAGCAGTTGTCTTCTGATAATAATAACACAATTAATTATGTTTTTCGGCTTACTCGCGTAACTACGGGTGTCGGAAATGCCGTTCATGAGTATGAGTCCCTGGAATGACTTGAAACTAGTCGAGTTCCTCGTCAAACAGTAACAAAAGATAAACCGAAAAACATAATTAATTTTTGATATGTCTCACTAAAGTTATGACACAATGCTTAAACCCCATTTTTCTATTTCTTCAGGTCCGAACCACCCAACAGCCAGGTACGTACACGACCCCGAACGTGCGCGAGCTGAGCGTGGGCGCGGCGTGGAGCGGCTCGGGGTCCCCGACGGGCGCGCGGCCCGACGTACCCTTCGCACTCTCCACTGACTCCAGCGACAGCGGGAGTGACCGCTCACTCTCACTCATGTTGATGGAGAATGAGCTGTCGGAGATGAAAGGTGAGTTAATGTTAAGATTTACACTTTATTATAAACGGGATAATTTGTTACTGTCGTCCGAAAGATAAAATGAGGTATGTAGTAAGCAGTTGACAAATTTTATGTTAAATAAATAGAATAATTCTATTTTGGCTGAGTCCATTTTAAAGTATCTGTTTAACTCGTCTAATGTAGTCATTATTAGTTTAGTTACTACAGTCCACAAAATGAAAAAAAAAAAACTCGAAGCTCTTGTTGTTTTTGTCAAAGATTTGTTTTTTTATTTACTCAAAACTTGATCGTACAATAGCGATGACGACAAAAAATATCTAATTTAATCGAATACATTTTGATGACGTTTTAAATAGATTCCAAGTAATATAATGTTTCAATTTAAATTCTTAGTACACTATGACTGATATTATAGTATAGGAAATAGTATAGATTAGCCTTATCTCTTCCTTAATGTTAATAATCGTAAAATATGTTATCTTATAAACAAACTGATTGTTCTCGGAGAATTGTGATAACTATAGCAGTATTACCTATTCAAACAAATTGTGGGATGTAGCGTCATAGTACACAAGTTGACATTTCTAAGGAAAATGTGAACACATATACATTGTACAAGTATACGTAATAATGTGCAGTTATCAACCTATTGTACGTTCGTATTTACCACTCAGAGCAAAATACTTAAAACGCAACCTAAACTTAGAAGTTAAACTGAGAAAACATTACCAAATTAAAGTGTAATAAATGTGCATTTAAAAATAAAGACAAATTCAAACCTGAATTTACTATTATTTTAACTAAGAAGAAACTAATCGGTTAACCATACCGATTTACAAATGAAAGAAACTGACTTATAGAAAATGAACTTTAAACCCAAAACCATGAAGTTCAATTCTACATAATTTACCAAAACTAATTACAAAGGGACATAGTACTTTAAACTTTAATAAACAGGAGATAACGGTTACATTTGTCCAGCAGTAGTGATGGACACGAGCCGCGTGGTAGTGACACACCTGCCCGTCGTGGAGGACGGACTGTCCTCGGGACACGCGTCCGATAACGACAATAATAACCAGATGGTACAGGTAAATACACGCTTATTATGAGAATACCTTTAAATACAAGTGAATAAAATACTCGTATATTATTTTACGCCTTACGCCTGAATACTGAAAGGGTACTCAATTTTAACTTGAGATTAAATATCGTGCCGTCTCTGTTATTTACAAAGGATTTGTAGAGACAGAACTATACTTAAGCGAGACTTAGAATTGAGTATTGTTTCATTATTCGGACATTATTTAAATACTGAATGTGTAAAATGTTAGGAACCGCATTCTACAAATAGTTTTTAACCCAGTCACAGATTTATAAACCATTATATTTTTTTTACCCTTAGATATCAAATAAATGGACAAAACATGTTCTTTGAGCCCATTTCAATTATTGTTTTAGTGATAATATACTCAATTAAAAATTTCTTACGTTTTTTACGATATACCAATTAAAGTTCCTTGAGAAAGAACCTTATTTTAAAAAACAAACGAGTGTATATTGAATGGATTGAATTTACTATAAGTGGTCCTATCAGGAATGTGCATAATAGGTTATTTGATTTAATACTATGGTTCAGATATTTGACTATATATACTATTTAGTGTATTAAAAACGTAATAACAACTGATAATTATGTAGGTAAGTAATTATAAGTAAATAATGATTTGTTTGTTGTTTGTAGACACATTCTGTAGTGATAAAGGAGATAGTGGAGAATGGGACGAGCACGGACCCGCACGTGTTGTCTGATGCGGACCTACATTCACTAGACCCGTTAGGTAAGTACAATTAATGTTTGTAATTTTTTATTAAAGTAAATAGTAAGTTAAAGTAGGTAAACGAGTAAAAACTAAGTAACGAGTAGGAAGGTGATCAAAGTTGTTAAATAAAATGTTATAATAATTAATCAAATAAGAATTACTGGATTATATTTACCATGGTATTATTTGTTACATGTAAACTTACTTGAAAAGTAAATATCCCAAATCCTAATATTGAGCAATTCAATATATAGGAATAAAATTAACGAAGCATTCATAATGAGTGCGATAAGCATATATAAATTACAAACTTAATAATCAAATATTAAAACACTAGAGTACAAACTAATAAACCCCTTACATTGTCAGTATGCAGTACGTCCGCGCCGCCGCCGCCGCCGGCCCCGGCGCCGCACCGGCCGGCGTCTCCGAGCTCGGTCCACGCCGGCCACGCCCCCCACGCTCCCCACGCTGCCCACGCCGCGCTGCCGGCGTTGCCACACGCCCCGCTCACGCCACATACGCCTCACACGCCACACGTGACGCATACGCCTCACACGCCTCACGCCCAACATACGCCGCATCATCACCATACGCATCACGAGGACGTGTATCCGCCACGGTTAGTATATTTAATTACTATTCTATGAATACGAACTGCTTCAAAGAAATGTGCAGCCTCTCTAAAAGTCTTCAGGAACTTGATGAATTAGATACTACTGAAACTATTACAACAAAAGTATTACTGGCTTTTTAAAAAATTCTCAGTAGTAGCACGGAGGCTGGAATTGTGCCCGGTATGTGGCAATAGGCTCACCCCCTGGTACATGGGACTCATACCATAAACAGTGAAAAGTGGGTGTTACATTGTACAGTGGCATAATGTGCACCTCAGCCTACCCCTTCGGAAATAAAAGGCGTGATGTTATGTTACTGAAACTACTCTGTAATGATAGATTAATTTATTCACCATGATTGATTGTATAATCAAACTCTAGTTGAGATATTTCGATAATTCCTAATAGTACCAGTATGATAACGAAATGATACGCGTATAGTGCTTGGCATCCAACCAAATTTATAAGAACTGAATCGGTTGATTCATGAGTCAGTTATTTATATAGCACATAGGTCTTAACTCGTCGAGTACCGGTTTTGTAGACACAATTATAGAACAATAGGTTGCGGTCACCGGTGACCGCTTGGTGTTTGACAGTTTAAATTAAATACTGTACTTACTTATTATCTTTTTTCCTACAGCAAAAGGCCGTCATCAGCGCAGAGCACAGAATCAGTAGAAATTAAACCTGCCAGCGGTGACGAAGGTAAGTACACGGCTATACAAACCAACATTTATCGAAAATCAATTAGATCGTATAAACTTCTTACAAGATAAATATCTAACCAGAAGATTATCTGCCTGCTACGCTACGACTGCCTCGTTGGCCGGGTCGGGCAAAGTAGGTACTTCTGGTTTTTTTTTGAAATCTCATTAGTAGCACGGAGTCTGGAATTGTGCCTGGTATATGGCAATAAGCTCACCCTCTATTACATGGGACTTATAACATAAAAGTTAAAAGTGGGTGTTACATTGAACAGTAGCATTAAGCGCTGTAATGTGCACCTCTGTCTACCACTTCGGGGATAAAAGGCGTGATGTTATGTTATGTTATGTAAGATTATAGAAAAAAATTAAATCAAATATACCTACCAAACAAGTAAATGATAATTCCAAGTAATACACAGATTTATAGCTCCAATTAAACTAGAATTGTTGATTTGACAGAAACAAATAGTCTTGTTTACGCCAATGCACCAAGACTCACGTAGTGGTTGTTTCCAGATGAAGCCGACACAGACCTTGAGACTGACAGATTACTTGGACAGCAGAGAACGGACGATCAAGGATTCTTCGACGACAAGGTAAGTCATAGATTTGTCTTAAACTTCGGTTACTATTTGTGTGATTTTTGCCCAATGAAAGGCACAAATATTATAGAAATGCTGTTGTAATCAAGTTAGAATCTTACTAATATTATAAACTAGCGACCCGCCCCGGCTTCGCACGGGTGTGTGTATTATACATATACACCTTCCTTAGACCCAAGCGAAGGGCACGTCGCGTTCCTCGCGCGCCTCAAAGAGTCATAAGACCACCACAGATGGGCCCAACAGGGCCGATGCCGGATTCGATTCGGAGTCGCGGAGAACCTAACGGGTAACCGGGGCTCCGGCTCGACGTGTAGGAGAAGGAACGGGGTGGTTTTTAGTCAGTAAGAGTCTGACAGTGTTATTCTTGAACTATGATTAGATTTATACAGACGCGTTTTTAGTATTGTGCCTACTTGCATTGTGATTCTGTGATGTTCAGTTGCCAATTTATAATTGAAGTTGTGAATATATGATGTATTTTTTTTTACTAGCATTAGAAATACAGATACTTTATAGTGATTAAAAATGTTATGCCAGCTTATTCCCATACACAGTTAAAAGGTTCCATAGTCTCCTACTGCATTCAAACATTCATTGATTAAAAATCATTATTTTTCCTATACTTATTATTATCATTCTTTTCCCTAACAACACTACCATACAACTCTCTAATATGTACTATTATACACACACACACACACACACGTGTCCAAACTTTTATTACTTAACCACACAACACCTATAATAAACATTATCTATATTTATCCTTATCACATAATAAACTGTTATCACCTAGTCGATACATGAAAATTAATCTTCATACGACCTTCACTTAGCGGTAATTTATTCATCATATTATTTTTAAAACACATCTGAGGAAGTATTGTGCATATATTTCAGGTCTGTGTCCTATAGTCTTTGGTCATACATCTGTTAACTTAGCATAACACGGTGGCAGACCAGTATAGTAGAACTCATGTACCGAAGTACACACAGACGCGTTACCTCAATATAGTATCATTATCGCATGGGAAATGACCAAGTGCACTGATAAAACCATATCGAACGCTCAGTTACGCGAAATTCAACGCCGAACGTAGCCGTGTTAAAATGACTGAAGATGAAAGACAGCCCTGTTTAAATGATGCTAAAGCTGAAATTGCAGTGGACGACAATGAAAGTGAAGTGAAAGAAAATTGTTCGACTGACGTTCGATCTCAACTTTTAAGTGAAAATGAAGAAAGTTTAAATGAAAAAACAGTAGATGATGTAGCGAATAGTGAAATAGTGGATAATGTTGGTAAAATTAGTGAAGTTAGTTTAAATGAAGCAGTGGAATCTAGTGATGTGATTACAGATAATGAAAACGAGAGTAAAAAGGATGTGGATATTAAAACTTGTGTTGATAGTGAGTCAAATGTTGGCGTGGAGTTAAAGGATACGAGTGATGATTCAGGCGTTGATGATGCAAAGGAAGGAAAGGTTAGAGTGTTTTTATACGTAATAGTAGGAAACACCGATGAAATTAATAATGAAGTATAAAGATACTTACATGCAATTTTTATTTTTTATAATCAGAACTTTATTGCAAAGTAACAAGTTTGAGAATTCAATAATGTAATAATAATAAATATAGTAATTTTCTCAACAACAATTTGGGAATCGGGTTGGGTTAATATATTGGCGTATTAATTAATGAATAAATAAAATTAATTATGTATGGAAGAATTGTCAAATGTTAAATATCTTTCCTCAGTTAAAATTTATCTGAGCATTGAAATTTGGTTCTTAATAGTTATTGTATTCAGTTAGCAAACGTAATACAAACATGTGTGTACTGAGTACGTATTGAAGTGTTATTAATGCAATAAAACGAAAATATTTAAGTATTTCACTTACTCGTTAAACTGTCAAACACCGCGAGGACACCGGTGACCGATAATGATGGTACTCAACGAGTTAAGTTGCGCGATTAGTTTTATAACATAAACACACATAACAATTTATCTACACTTCCTTTTCACGGTTACCAGCGACAAAAACTCAGTTTCTAATAAGCTATAATTAAAAAATATTTAATAAAATTTTAGGAATCATTAAAAGATTATCTTAATTAATGACGTAGGTAATCTATTTTAGACTTCCATGACGGGAATTTGTTTTAAAAAATTATATAGAATTTTTACACAATAATTATGATACGTGTTAATCTTCTTTATTCTTATAATCATAATTCTCTACTTCTCTTACGTAGTATGCGCCAGTATTCGTTAGGTAGATAGTTCAAGAACACAGATAATAATCGGAATTGAACAAAGATGTTTATTTTAGAAATTTTTCTCATAGCAGAGTTATCATTGTATTGGTCTGAATGCAGATTCTGAGTACTGTACAGATTGTCAACAAAACTTTGCGATAAAAAACAATAGGTACTTAGAAACGTAAATCTTAAAACTTCATCAATTAACTAACCTAATTAACAGTAGAATGGACATAATCTAAATAATTAACAATATCACTTACATTTTGAGTCGCAAGCGCATCTCAATGACAAGACGGACTCGGGTCAAATCTTGACCCGACCGCTCATACTTTGTTTGTGTGCAGGTCAAGTTACTCCTTGCTGTTAAATATGTTTATGATATTTTTAACTTTAAGGTTTTGGCGTAAAGTCGAAAATCCAATTAAACAAATTGACAATTTGGAATAGGTACATTTACTGGTTGTACAAGTATTTAGGCTGATGAGTTCCAAGTAACGGAGCTCCAAATTAATTTCAATGAACAATAGCGTCTGTATGAAATTGTAATGAGTGCAATTTTGTTCTAAACCCAAATTAATACGTGGGTCTTGGCATACCTAACTTTAGATGAATTAAAAGAAACTTACGGTATGGTACAATAGAATGCATTTTTCACCACCACCCTATTCATCTCATGACGTGGGTATCATAGAGTCGGTCGACTAGAGTATTACATACATATTTGATAGACATTAGGCAGATTATGACAACTCATTATAGAAGCGGCCTAGAATCCAATAATGAATAGGGTACCTAGATGCCTAATTTTTATTTTAGTATCCGTCTGATAGATTATTTTAAAACATTAGAGTTGTTTTTTTTATTTTCGATATATTGATTTGAAATGTCGCGTGACGTCACTTCTAAGAAGGTTTTTACGTAGAAATTATGTTTTTAATCCCACTTCTTATCTTTGATTCGTTTTATTCAAGTATTGTTTTCTTGTACGACATAAAAAATACGTGTCTAATATTTTTCATTACTTAACTGATGGACTAATAAGATTTTTAATTTTTCATACCCTGTCATCCCTATTATTGTAAGTCGTTTGTAATGTATGTCTCATCAAAGCCCAAACTCGTGTAAATACGATAGCCTATACGATATCAACTCTAATTGTAATATGTTTGTGTTAGGGATGGCGCAAACCGAAATCCCGTACGGTGATGCCGGGCGGCAGCGTGGTGGCGGCGCGCTCACCACATGCACACGACGCCACAGACAACCGGGACGAGGAGGCACTACACAATGGAAAGGTAACCATTTTATTTTTATATTAATGTTAAAGGAAAGGTAGGTTTAGAAGCAACGAAGTCTAGAATATTAAAAAAGTACAGACTTAATAACACTGCGTCCTGCGTAAGACTCTCGCTAATTCAGAGCTATGCGGTGCGACTGCGACGCGTCGCAGTTTCGTCTTGTTTTTGTTTTTGACATTATAAAAAAAACGCATCCAGTTCGCTCAAAAATATCAAGCCAACTGATCGCGTCTGTTTCATTAAGTTTCAAAAAGTATATTAGAGAGATTAACCGGCTTAAATAAGGTTAAATGATCCAGATTGGATAATCTTCTTATTACATAACATAGCATCACGCCTTTTATCCCCGAAGGGGTAGGCAGAGGTGCAAATTATGAAACTGTACAATATAACACCCACTTTTCACTATTTATGTTATGAGTCCCATGTAATAGGTCATCTTCTTATTATGGTCGAATAATTCATTGTAGTTTGTTCAACAATGACAAATCTATAACTGAAAGTTTATCTACTGATTTTTTTTTTTTAATATTTACACGTTTTGCAAAATTGTGATGTAAATGTTTTACTTTTCAGGACAAAGACGGGAAGAAAAAGAGTAAAAATAAAGAAGGTAAGTTCTGAGAACAATAATTAATTAGATGTATTGTATTGGAACAAAACCGACTAAATCTATTTATCTATTTTATGCTGCCTTTGGATTTTGTCCATGGTGAGTTTTTAGACAACAAAGAAAATTTAAAAAAATAATTATTCTGAGCATTTTTTAACGATCGAAAGTCTAATAAAATACATTTACACATGAATTTATAGTCTATAGCAATCTATAAGAATATATATTGGAAATAGTTAAAAAATTACTAACATTATGTGTAATTTTTTTTCTCTCTCTCTCTCTCTTTGCTGTTAGTTTATTCTCCGTCCTTATTTTTCGCAGATGTTCTACTTTAACCCTAAGGTTGACTGGTAGAGAATGCCATATGGCGTTAAGTTCGCCTTATGTGCCATAATAAAATTGTATACATAAAAGAATAAATAGATAAATAAAAATAAATACTAAATCCTTATTCCAACTAACTATATATGTATTAAGTCTGTGTAATAAATTGAAAAAAAAAACATTTTAAATCTTCGTATAACTCTGTTTAAAAACAAATAATATACATTAAAAATCGCCATAAAGCCAAAAAAATAATTCTTAGCTAAATTGACAGAAATATTATTTGAAACAGCGCACTTTGTTCCACAGATGTAAACCGTTCAGTGCTCATAGAAGGCGTATTGTTTCGCGCCCGGTACCTTGGATCCACACAACTGGCGTGCGAGGGTCAGCCCACCAAAGCCACCAGGATGCTACAAGCTGAAGAAGCCGTGTCCAGAATCAAGGTATTGTATTGAACCCGGATTCTTTTTAATCAATTTTATTAACCCCCTGACTAATATTTTTCCATTGATTAACGAAATAATTATATTAACAGTTTTTTTTGTCATTAAACTGAACCCCAATTTTCATCAACTTATCTATAGGTTTTGGGCCCTTATTTTTCAAGCAACGTCTTGTTTGTTTTTTTTTATTTAATATTTATTTGATAGTATCATTTTTTAATTAACTCCCAATTTCAATAACTGAGCTTCAGAGAATTTACAAACGCTAGCACATCAAGCTACCCAAACAGTCCCATTTCTTTATTGATTTTTTAATAATTAATGAAAGTCTATAAGAATTTTGACACATTGGATTACCTTGGTGTGCTGTCTTTAGTAATAAGATTATTATTTTAATTTTATCCCAACCTCTAAGGGTTGCCACTAACAAAACGTCCAGGGTTGCTAACTTCCGTGTTTGAACCTTGCATTCTCATAAAGACACAGTTGAGCAACTTACCGTTTGCCCGTGTGAATCGGTATATAATGTAAAATGTTTGTATCTTTGTAGATGTTTATTGAGCGAGAGCATGAAATTACTTGTCACTTTCTGTCCCACTCTTATTCTAGCACTCTTCTTGAGATTGGCATTACTGGCTTCGTTATACAACTAGACACTTTAAAATTACTTATTTGTGATTATAGAAAAAGTATCGGTTGCAAATCATAAGGCTTGTACGGTGCGATAATTTTACAACACTATCTGTATCCAAATCTAATCCTTATGTAAAATTATCTCACTGAACAAGTTCTAAATTATAATTGTTACCTCCAAAAACGTTGTATAACTCAAGCTCAGTCAAAATTGAACATCTGTCAACACTATTCTATCGACTCCAACCACCTCTAGTCGAGCTCTTGACGAAACCCTTTCACATCTCTATCTAAACGCGTGAAGCAATGGCACGCAAACTCTTCTATTTGCACGCAAGTCTTTCTATGTACCTACTAACCTATCACGGTCATCTTGTACATATGTAATTTCATGCTCATTAGGATTAGTGTATTGAGAATGCTAGTGGGATATCCTTCATACCCTTTTATAAACGAACAAAACAATATTTAGATGCTAGAACGTAAATTACCGGGACTTTGCCCTGTGTATGTTTATTTTCAAATGTTTGAGCCATCCACGACCTGTCCGCCAAACCGTTCGAGCTCTTATTGACTTGGCACTAGAGTATTTTTTTCAGTGTGATCCTCACCCCTCGACCCGACCCAAGAAGATTGTCGGATCCCGTATTGGCCGGCTAGCCTCCTATGAAAATGTTTGTTTATCTGTCGCTTTCTGTTCCGCTTGTCGCTAATGCTTTGTATCATTTGGGCCCTTGTGTAGGGCACTGCAAGGTAAGCTCCGAGTATGCGATCATATTGTGCTGTGCTAGACTTTTACCTTGGCATGTTCCAATTTCGGGCTATTTATGAGTAACGAACGTACTTTCGTATTCCATCGAGTTGTGTTTATGATGAAAAAAGACGGAAAGATCTGTATGTTCTTCATAGGCATAACTCGATAAACCGTGTCCAATGGAAGTACTTACCTACATCACAAACCGGTACGGATGCTTTTTATCCATGCACTATTTCATATAATGCACAATATAGCATGTAACATACCCGATTCACACCGGCGGCGGTGGCCTGGCGACACGAGGCACTACATCGCGGAGCGCTTACTGCTACGCACTCGATCTCCCTGTTCTACTAATAAGGTTAATTCGTTAGGTCTGCTTTCATACTAACGACCGGTGGATTCGCTCGCTTCTCACAGAATCATTGTGTGTTTGTATTCGAGTTGTTTTGCTTGCTTTGCCGCGCAAATTTTTGATCATTTTGCTAACATTGGTTTCGTCCAGAAAGCGTTTGAAAAGCAAGCCAAACAAGGGTTCGTGCTTAAAATTAAATTGCCTAAACATTGACATTGTGACAAAATTGAAACAACAAATTTGAACAAAAATTTAAGAACGGTTTTAAATCGGGCGAAAATTTTAAAATTTTACAATTAAAACAAAATAACATCAGGAGTCGCATTAGTTTCAAATTATGTAGTAACACTTATTCATTCAGAAACACGGTATAGCCATCTATAAAATCAGTTAGTGTTAAAAATAGTATCTAACAAAATTAAAGAATGTCTCATTTTAAAAACAAACTGGTAGTTAAGCGAAACGGTTCAACTGGAATACCTACTGTTGATACAGTTGTCATACATTAATAATACCTCCAAAGTCAAGGTTGCCTTCGGGTTCTTAATTACTCTTTTGAATTTAAATTATTAAACTTATATATTTCATAAAACAGCCTAAATAAAAGTTTTAAAATAATGAAACCATAAAATCTTCATAAAAATAAAAAACAAAACAAATCGAATACACGCCAACAATGTGAGAACGTCCGAGGAGGTTAGCCGGCATGGCTCATGTCACAGTGGGGCTGCGACGGGCCGTACTCCGGCGTGTACGCCGCTCCGGCCGCCGTCTTCCGACTCTCCTTCCTGGGCTCGGTCGAGGTCGACGAGGACTCGCGCCGACGCAAGAAGCGACCCAAAAAGAACATGGTAGAGGAAGCCGTCACTAAGATTAAGGTGGTTTGGCTGACATATTATGTTTAGGCTCTTACAATACGTCGTCCTGTTGATTTTTGTTACGGTTTTTCAATGTAATTGAACTTTTTAGAAGATTTTTCACATTGGCAACATTCATGCTTTAACACTTAGTTTTATTGTCATTTATTAAGCTTCTCTTACATTAGAAAATTCAATGAAAGTCAACGTAATGTATAGGATAATTTTATAGTTTAAAGTTATAGGATAATTTACTCGGCCGTTATTTCAAATTTCACGGAAGCTTATGATTCGTATCAATAGCAAGTATTTATCGGTGTTGCCAGTAAAATTAATTCATCTTGGTTATGTGTGTTATTTGTTTATTGAGGTCTTCAAATTGTCAAAAAATTTGCAGCATTTTATAATTTAATACAACTTTAACAACAATCTTATAAGTAACCAGTTGAAGACTTGAATAAACTTGTTCTTATATTTAAGTGTTGCCACTTCATTGTACTAACATTATCGTTATTCCCTTTTCGCTGTCTTGGGTAATCAGGCTTTGGTAAGTGTCAAAATTTCTAACAAAATTAACTTCACTGTATCGTGGTGGCGGATTAAGAGTACCTTATTTTTCTTGACACAGCTGTTCCATTTCATTGCCGTTTAGAAAGCAATTGGTTTGTGCCACCAGCGTTAATTGACCTATCCCATTATTGTTTCATATCATTGCTTTATTTTTGTTCTCATTGAGTAATCCGCCACTGCTGAGTGTAATGCGACAGCGATATCTTCATTATAGCACGATCTTACTACATAATATTGCCTCACAAACATTTCCACGTGTCATTTCTAATTAAATGCCTTTGTGGGCTGCATAGTTTAAAAGAGTTAACAGATTTATATATTTACCTATCTGCCTAAATCAGTTTCGGTTAAAGTTCAGAAACAAATAATTTAAAGAGAAATTTTCTGAGAACATTTTAACTCAATTATATTTAGTGTGACGAGAGTTTTCAGTACTATATATCCATGATATCATTTTACGAGCTTGCTTTGTAAAATGTTCGCTCCGATTCTAGGCAAATTATACTTCAGTCGAATTTCGTCGATAGAACAGATTCAAATGATATAATGTAGGAATACAACAATATATAAACTTTAATTTAATATGTATGATAGGAGATCATACATATTAAATCTCTTTCACACCTTCCTTTTTCAAAGAGAAACATCAATGTGCTTGGTACTTAGTAGTCAATGTTATTAGAATCGGTGCTAATTCACTCGCCAGTCTATCAGAAGCTTGTCTTTGTAAACTCTGGAGATACAGCCGGCCCGTGTAAGCGAATATCATAGAAATACTACTCTAAATTCCAGGCTCCTGAGGGCGAAAACCAACCAAGTACAGAGGTGGACCTCTTTATATCTACGGAGAAGATAATGGTCTTAAACACTGAACTAAAGGAAATTATGATGGACCATGCGTTGAGGACTATATCTTACATCGCGGATATAGGTGATCTGGTCGTCCTCATGGCTAGGAGAAGATTTGTTCCACATGAGAACGATTCCGACCAGCCTAAGTTGAACCGCACGCCGAAAATGATCTGCCATGTTTTTGAGAGTGAAGAGGTAAGACTTGTATGGTTTATTTTATTTAGATTTAATATCTATACTATATTTCCTTTGATGCAAAAATGAATTAGACCATTAAATATAGGCATGTCAGACCTACAAGTAGAAAACATTGTACCTACCAATTAATAAAGTGATTCTCCTTTAAAAGGAGCTGTATTTTCTCATCTTGTCTTTTAAACGAATGTTACAAGTAATTAATACATTATAATGCACAGTTATACACATAATGTCCATGACAGTACAACCTGTATTTGTAAACAAAAAGGACCTTAAACCTCAACCTAAAGATAACATGCAAAAGCATCTACAGCAAACGCCACCTAACCTCAAATTCTAATCTTTACAAAATAAAATAAACATTGATAACAGCAGTATTTATCTTGACACAGACGTCTTTAATTCTACAATACGTTTCTAACCCAATTTCAATGTCATTAAGGTAGAAAATGTATTGAATAAGTTTGACAGATAAGTGTATCTTTATATGCGGTTGTCCGAATATTTTACATTACTACAAGTTAGTAGAGTGTCACCTCTTATTGTAAACGATTTCTGAAGATATTACAACCACGCTTCATTGAACAATTTCGTGGTTATTGGATCCATTGAAACGTGACCAGATAAGGCAAAAACACGCTAATTTAGACCTTATTTTAAAGAGAAGTTAGTTATGAAAATTAACATTGAGGAATCTGTTTCAAAGTTCATACAATTTTGCTTTGGTTTAAGATGAAGTTGTTTGTTCAAAATAATAATGAAAATAAATTATTTCAGGCACAATTTATAGCTCAGTCTATAGGCCAGGCGTTCCAGGTTGCCTATATGGAGTTCCTAAAGGCGAATGGAATAGAGGACCATAGTTTCGTCAAAGAAATGGACTACCAAGAAGTTTTGAACAGTCAGGAGATATTCGGAGACGAGTTACAAATGTTCGCTAAAAAGGAATTGCAGAAAGAGGTAAGTTACGTTGTCGATAGACACTTATTTACTTAGTGTTGTCTCTTTACGGCGCGTCGCGTTCCGCGCGCGCCTCAAAGAGCCATCAGACCACCACGGATGGGGCCCAGTAGGGTTGATGCCGATACGGAGCCGCGGAGAATAACGTGGCTCCAGCTCGGAAGTGCAGGAGAAGGAACGGGGTAGTTTTAGTCAGTAAGAGTCTGACACTGCCTTCCGCCTCACCCAGGCAGGAGAAGTGATTCAACGATTTTCCCCCTCAAAAAAATAAATAAAAGTGGTGTCTCTTTCATTGTTATGGTGCGCTTGTTCAACGACAGCATAAAAAGTCATAGTCGATGACAAGGACTATGAAAAAAAGGCGGACACAGCCTCTTGAAACAACGACTGTGACACCTGTTACTTTAGCCAAACGCCACTGTAGCGCTTGTCTACAGAGAGAGTAGAAATAAAAATGTATGGGTATGACACTGACAAGTGTTAACATTTACGTCAATTCCATATAATTTGATTTTCTATTCTACATGTAGACAAGCGCTAAAAATGCGCAGCTGTAGCCAAATGCGTGGCTACAGCTGCTGGTTACTAATAGACTTATACACAAAACATACACACATTGACACAAAGGACATCTGTCATTTTCTTAAGTCTGGTACTGTAATGAGTAATGACACACGCACACATAAATAACACACTGACATCTTGGTGCTTCAATCATTTCTAAGTGGCATTAAGTCCGTCTTTTTTTCAACGGCTTTGGTCGATGTTAATTTAAAGTCATTTGACTAATGGATTGATGAATGGCCACAATCGCAACTACGACTACTTAACAAGACTTTCTATATTCGACGCCCAAGTCAGGGTTTCAGCTGCATAGAGATATTTTATCACTTTCATAACTGGTGGAAATTATGCGAAATTAAGAAGGATACCTTAAACAAATATTTTTTCCTTATTTTTTTTTATATGGATAATTGTAACCTACCTTGTTTTGTATAATATTGTGCTAAGTCTAAGCCTTTAAATCTCCACAGGTGGTGGTCCCAAAGACAAAGGGTGAGATTCTAGGCGTGGTGGTGGTGGAGTCAGGTTGGGGCTCCATGTTGCCCACCGTGGTCATTGCCAACCTGGCGCCCGCCGGGGCTGCCGCGCGATGTGGACAACTTAATATAGGTAAATACTACTGTTTTTCAATTACTGCCTTGTCGGTAAAGGTATACTGAAAGAAAAAAATATGCAAAAGATTTATATCCTCAGTCAAAGATGATAATGTTATATCTGCTGAGCTGCAAGTGGTTTAAATCATGTATTTAAAATTCGTAGTTAAATCACATGGATTGGATATATACCCTATGATGGTGTATATAACCCTACTATGTATAAGTTAGCGTTTTGAACAAAAACGGAGAAATGAACATGATAATACAACTACAGATCGGCTATGTTTTGATGCCACAGGAACGGCGTCAAAATATTGCATAGAAATTAACAAAATCTCTTCAAAATCAAAAATAACTCATTTAAGTCTTTTTTGCATTCCAGGCGATCAAATAATAGCAATAAACGGAGTAAGCTTAGTAGGGCTGCCACTATCGACTTGTCAGACGTATATAAAGAACTCCAAGAACCAAACCGTGGTCAAGCTGACCGTGGTTCCTTGCGCGCCTGTAGTCGAGGTCAAGATCAAGAGACCAGACACCAAGTACCAACTTGGATTCAGCGTGCAGAATGGAGTTGTAAGTCTATCAATTTTTTCTTTTAATATTTTGCTATTAACAAATTTCTCCGGAGTAGGCCCCGATTCTGTACAAATATAAGATCCATTATTTTTTCTAAATAAAATTATTCTTATTCTTATTCTTCTTATTCTGTTACTAAACAGTTTACTGCTAACTGTTTAGGTAGTCCTAAACAGTTAGCTTTCTTGTGATGGAAGAGTTTTTCTAAATGGTCAAGTAATTTCAACGCATTTTTTTTATCTAATATAGTCTTTTAGCAACAGTGTCCAATTGCACTAACTTGAAACTGGATATAATGAAATTTGGAAAATGTTCGACTTCATTAGTGTTTGTACTATGTCCTTAATGACTATTTAATTATTATGTTTTCGGCTTACTCAGTTGATAATAATACCCATTTAGCAATAATTAATTAGTAGATGTATCTCACGATAGTTTTAATATAGACTATGTTTTTTTGTAATTCTAGATCTGCAGTCTGCTCCGCGGTGGTATAGCAGAGCGCGGCGGAGTGCGAGTGGGACATCGCATCATTGAGATCAACTCACAGAGCGTCGTCGCCGTCCCACACGAACGGATCGTCAACTTACTCGCCACATCCGTCGGAGAGGTACTTAGCTTTACATTATATTTTTATTACACATTACACACATAGGTACTCCAAGATAAAATAAATGAAGTAAACTGTGTTTTAGCGCTTTTGGAAACTTTAAAAGAACTTAAAATCGGTTATATAATCCTCAGATATTGATGAAGACGATGCCGACGTCGATGTTCAGGCTGCTGACCGGCCAGGAGAACCCGGTGTTCATATAACGCGCGCCGCCGCCGCGTCTCAAGTGCCTGCTTACTACGATATTACATTACGCCCACTCAGCACCGCCACACGGCCCTAGCCTCGCAAAATAACCCGCAACTTAATACTGCCGATTAATATAATAAAAAAATATAATCGCCGCTAAAATCTCAACTATTCTGAAGTTTGCGCAAGTCATGCGCAGTTGCGCAACTATGTTTCGACGCTAACTTCATAGCAGTGGAGGAATTAGGTTTGTAAATATTATATATTTTGTGTATAATATACATTAAACAGTTGTGCAGGAGTTTCTAATGATTGGTCATGTTTATTTAATTTTGCGTTAACTAGGTACGTCAACTTAAATGGCAATCGGCCATTAATTTAGCGGCAAATGTACAATAATCTAATAATTTATAACGTTGACCAATTATTAAAAATATGTCTGCACATTATAATATAGATTTATAACAAAAACCCCGTAGATATCCCGTGTTAAATAAATATAGATGACCATATAACAAGTTAAATAGTAATCCTGGAAATAATGTAACTGTTAAGTAAGCTTTCTAACACCATTTTAATATTGTTCTACGAGCTATGAACTTCGACTGTCTTGTAATTTTAATTTAGTACGAATAGTATTAATGTTGTCTCGAATGATTTGTGTAAACAAAAGTACATATTTTAAATGTTTTTGTGAAGATAGTCGAAGTACATAAATGAGTGCTGTAACCAATGGAAATACACGAACAAGCTCTATTTCAATCAGTTATGAGTGAGCTTGAGGTCGGTGATTCTTTGCAAGAGCGTTCGTTTTCGTTTACATTCAAATTACACATAAAATGTAATCGTTAACACATTAATTTCTTAATAAAAAGTACATAAAACAAGTACCTTTAACTAGGTACAATAAAATACAAGAAAAAGTATAATTTTATATAGCGAGGATAGGGCCAAACTCAAGCTTAGCTGATAAAATACTCAATAAACATATGTGATGAGTTTCAATGCTTACAATGCTTTCGTGGCTAATAAGATAGAATATAAGTTGTATTATCTCTCTATTCAAACACCATGTATTTATAATTACGAATACAAACATGCTCTATATATCTGACCACAGAGTAAAAATAAATACATTATGAAATACTTTTGCCTCGTAATTAAAAATACATGTTGTTGTTCTTTGATCGTCATGACAATGTGTATACATACTTCACTTATTGTATTTATGAAGAATATCAGATCCCGTTCATATCTGCTTAGATATTTGTATTAAATTAACAAATTAATTCAGAAAACATTCGCGATGTTTTGCTACTGTTGTAAAATGAACAATTGATTTTCGAATTATGATTATGTCATGAAGTTGTTTGCCATATTTTTTCTTTGTTATGTACCTAGATCGAATCTTATTAGGAATTGTATTTGTTTAAGTAAATCGGTAAAGTTTTTAATTTTTGTGGTGTTATCCTTTTTTTACGTACGTATTTGGATGTGTATCTCGAAATTTATGTTTAATTTATTGTTTTTGTGTGAAACTATAGGTTTTAGGTGAATTATGTGAGGGAACATACATGTAGATGTATTATTTATTTCTGTGTCACCGTTCATGCCTGTTAGCAATAAAACCATTCCATTATCATAATGTTTAGTTCTATGTATATTCTGACAAATCGACGTTAAGTTTCATTATTTAAACAAATATTTCTTACGAATAAAAGTGCACCATAGTTCAAATTGAGTCATTCAGTTCAGATATAAACATGTATAGCTTAGATAAGTAGGTCCAACTATCTAGCTGTGTTGTGGCACTTATTCTAGACAAACTTGCATCTATCATAGTGAACGCAACCTAAAATCAGCGCCACAGCACATTCACAGACCTACAGTGATCAAATTGAATAAAAAAGAATTGATTAGTGAATATAGTAATAAAAAAGCATTATTTCGTGTAGCATCTCAAAAGATATATCATATTTTGTAAATTTTATAGTGTTGCTATAGCTATGTAATCTATATATGTATGTCCCTGTGTTCTTAGCTAAGCTTAGCGCTCTGAGAACGAGTAACCAACATTTATTTATGTATAAAAATATATATAATTTAACAGTTCTAATTATAAACACTTTAGATATAAACACTTGAATAAACCGCTTCTGATTACGTACATTTACCCCCCAAACTAATATCTCCTCAATATGTCTTCTTTTTCGTATTTGGTTCATTTGCTCTTACGGCCAGTGTCCAACTACTATGGGTGTGTGTATCAACATCGGAAAACATCGACATAAGTAATCCAATGTCAGCACCTTTTTAAAACTTTCTAGGTGACGTTAAACGCCCTTTATCTATTTCCTACATCGTCGCTCAAAATATCCCCAGAACTTTTAAATTTTCTTTACTCCCACGACCCCGACACTGGCCACGCCCTCGTGAACTAAACGTAAATATAATAAGTATACAGTCTGATGTAATTTTGTATTGCTAGCTGTTGTGAATAAGATTTATTTACATTGAGAAACACAGATAATAAATAGCCTTTTATTGTGAAAGCTGGTATATGGTAGGTACACTGTAACATGTGAAATAACTATTGTTGTTCTCATTTCTAAGAGTATTATTCTAGTCTGCATTAAAGTTAAGAATAAACTGAACAAATTGATTATGGTGTTTTATTACTTACCCGGTACCGTAAAATGGGGTGGATAAGGATCGAGAGCAGGTTCTATTTTATTATGCATCTGACTTCGAGTGGAGGCGTTGGGGTTTCGACTTCGAGTTGGTCGGAAGACAATGTTAGTGAGGCAAAGTCAATATAAAAGAATAGTCCAGCCTCGTGCTTTCAGTAATCGGCTCTTATTTTTGCGAATTTACAAGTGTGTGAAGATTTTTATAAGTTGGCTCACCTCACCCAAAGTCATTCCAACCCTCTCCATCAATCGTCAAATATGTCTTTACCGGGGGCTAGGAGGGTTCGAAAATATGGCATTTTTTGGCTACGAACTCTAATTTTCGATATTCTTGAATTTAATAATACAAATGTTTTATTGACATTTCTACTAATGTCTTGCGAGTGTAGGTACCTCAACTAGGCTGTTGCCCCGGCGCCCATAGGGTTGATAATTGTGTTGTCGACGCTGCCATCAGACGAAAAACAATAAGGTGGTAGGTAAAAAAGAAAACTGTGAAATTGACAACCGGAGAGGTTTTTTAAATTCCCTATTGGACTAAGGTCGAGAGGTTCACACCAGCGCAGCGCCATCTGGCGAATAAAAATATAATAGCACCCATTAAGTAGGTAGGGATTGGTAATGGTCTTAGGCAGAGGCACGTGTGTCACCCAGTCACTGAATTTTGAAACATACTGATCGACTGAGTAAGAGATTAATGTAGTTATTTAGAAGTAAGTCTAGTAACTTATTAGTTCCGATTGGTGCTGGTACCGACATGGACCTCCATCCTCATTAACTACCTATGTATCTACTTACTTAATTCTATCTTTTCTCACATAAAAAGATCAAATCGAAAAGCATTTAGCTTATGGCTGAAATCTAAACACAACGCCATCTATTGTCACCAAATTTAATTAATCTGACTCTCATCTGCCTCGGTTAACTGACAAAAATTAATTTAATACTTGCTGGGGTAGTAGGTATCAAACAACTAAGGGTTCTGAATACTGAGCATTTGATTAATTTACTCGACATGGGAATCGAACTCAGTTAGCTAACAAAACTAGGAATGCCATTAACAAGCAGTCTAAGACCTGCCTACTGCTTCTACTGCTTGCCACCGCGTGTTGCCTAAACCACAACCACAGACTAAATTCCATATGAAGGTAGCCACCTACCGGGTCTCGGGTGGGTCGCTATTTATGGATGGCCCTGATATAGCAGGGGTGGTTTTTAGTTAGTAAGTCTGACACTATCTGTAAGTTTAATATTTACCTAATTACCTCAATTAAAATTTAAAAGACCTTAATTACCGAGTTAGCAGGTTAATCTTCATCTTCATACCGTGTCGGTAAATTTTCTATCTGTATATGGCTGAGGTTGATCTTCTTAAGCTGATAACTGGATGCTGTTCGGTGTTCGATTTTTGCATGTAACAAATGTGCAAATATATGTTGTGGTTCTAGGTCTGTGGAATTTTGCCGGGGATCCGGCTCAAAGTACAGGAGTAGGAACGGGGTGGTTTTTAGTCAGTAAGAGTCTGACATTCCCTCTCGCCTTACCCGGGCGGGAGAAGTCATTGGATAATTTTCCCCCCTCAAAGAAAAGTGGAATTTGTGTAAATACGTCATCAACAGCCTGTTCTCGTCCACTGCTGGACATAGGCCTCTCCTGTGGCACGCCACTGGTGTGTGAAGTTAAAATAGAAGAAGTATTTCTGCTTGAACCCTAGTGATTGTCAATGTGTATGCCTAGCTATTTACAGCCACATTTACTAATTCATGACAAAATTAAATAAATGGAAAAACCCGTTAAGTAGATTAACTATGGCACTCATTATTATCAGTGACCGAGTTATAAAACAATCACTGTTGAACATGCATCTCCCCAATGATGAATCCCTGAATGAACTTAACATATTCTAAATTAGTTATTTGGGAATAGTAGAATGGCCATAGGCAAGCACATATTTGGATTATATTAAGTAGTGAATTAAGAAATCAAATTACTTTTACTTTGACTGTTGTGCCCACTCAATCACATTCCGTTATGGTCTCCAAATTATTTTCATTTAAAGTTTTGAAATAATAAAAAGATGATCATAAACAATTATTATAAAGACAACAAAAGAAAACTAAAGTGTTATTGATTAATTATGCACATATACACTTTATATTACTAGGTACTACCTACTTAAAATTCCTAACAAAGGCATTGTTTAGCAGGAACTAAGGATGCACATACAATGACCTTCCATCAGGTGTGCAGTTTCAAAACAATAAACAATTTTTCAGATAAAATGTAAGATAACAGATAACAAATACAAACAAAGAACTGTTTTTCTATTATCTTCTAACATTTATTTATATACTTCTAGATACTTTTTATAAGCTCGGTTATGACCTTGGTTTATGTAGCAACCGAGTTATAGATTTGTAAAAATGTCTCATGATTGCAACATAGTTGCTATTGTATGTTTACATATTGAAATTAACTAATTAAATGTTGAGGTGAAAGACAATGGTTTTTTTCTTTTTGGATAAGTCACCCACATGGCATGTAACCATAAAACTGCACATTGAGTCCGGACTCTGAGTGGTTGTTGAGAATATTGCAACTATGAAGCATTTCTTAGATACTTAAACCCATGGACTGGACAGTAATCAGATAAGATTACAATCAATGAATTCATTCATTCTATTGTCCGATGAGTCTAAAATTAAACAAAAATCCAATTGGAACACATTGGAAAGATATTCTCAATGTAATTGGAAGCTGCTTCCGTTGTTACTACAATCCACACAGTTATTTAGGTATACTGAGTATTCATTGTTTATGCCAAGAATCTAGTTTGATAATAAATATGTATTTTCCCTAGGAGGAAATGTTAGTAGTGCTCACTTGTATACTACTATAAGGAAAACATGTTTTGTGATAAAATGTATATTATAGTTTAACACAAACTATGCAATAGATCAATGAAAACATAACCTAAAATAAATAATTTTCTCAAACCAATTCAATTCAAAATTGAAAATAAAATATTGGTTTAGCTTTTGTATATTATGTATTTTGAAGTTTCTCACAAAGCCAAATTAAATATACATAAATACAATTTAATGATAATTTTTATACAAGATGTAAACAGTACACAAAAGATCCCGTGAAATCATGCCGCTTTGCTTATTAAGTGTAAAATTAAATCATCTAATGCATTCACTTCTGCTAAGTAGAAAAAAGAATTAAATTAAACTTCAATATCACTAGTGATCAGATAACTGATATAATCATTTTATTAAGCATAACATTTTGCACTCAAGACTTGGTGTTCCATAACACTCTTACAAAGATATTCAACTTTGTGACAGTAAACACTATCCATTGTATAAAATTAACCAAATTTGTAACCATGAAATATATACATTTAAGTCTCCAGGTATTCTTTTATTAGCTATTATAATGATAGTAAAAAAATATGCATACCTAATATTGTAACGAAGCTACATGTGAACGGGTAAACAATGACCTGTGGGACTGTCGGACCGCTCCGAGACAAATAGGGGGCGAGGCTACGAAATGCAGGAGGATAACCTGAGCGATGAGCGCCCGCAGCGCCGCAGTGCCGCTCACCTATAATAAAATTTATCCACAATTGTCTCTTCACAAGTTACTCGGTCTAGGGTGTATAACATAACTTGCACTCTTAAATCATGATATATGTTAGTTCCGTCCTCGTGTGGCGCGCGTCGGGGAGGCACTGGTGAGTGAGTGCTGGGCGGCACTGTTCAGTTGTCCATGGCGTATCTCCGCGTCCACTCCTTCGCATTCCGGATAGCTTCGCTTTCGTTCACCTTCCACAGCTCGGCCACGTCGTTGGCCAGCGGGTCGTCAGGGTTCGGTGCTGACAGTAGCGCCTGGATGGAGAGCAGCACCGTGCGAATCTGCAGTGCAGGACTCCACTTGTCCTTCAATATGTCCAAGCATATACGACCCAGCCGATCTATGTTCGGATGGTATATTTTCGTTATAAACCTAACCTTAGGCGCTGACATAGGATAATCCTCTGGCAGAAATAACTCTAATTTGAATAGTCCTCCTTCGAAAGGCGAGTCTTCTGGACCAGTGACGATAACATGGAAATAACGTGCATTCGTTTCGCTTGGCACCGCGCTGATTCCCGGCACCGGTTCTTGCATCAATCGCTGTGTCTCTTTGATTATTCTACGTGGTAGGGCTGCCATTTTAAATATGCGGTCTAGCGCAATTTGTCAAATGAAAGCAAGTAATCATATAATTGTACAAAATATCTAATTGTCTTTTCACACTATGTGTTCTTGACGATTATCCAGGCACGTCTTCAGAATTAACAAATTACAATAGCATTTTAGCCATGATATTGCTAAAAACGCGACTACAAAAGCGAAGGTACTTCAATTTTTAAAGCATAGACTAAATAGACTTCTGTACCAAAGAGAACACGTGCAATATAGAAAAGGATGCGTTTCAAGTTATTTTTGTACAGAACTGGAAATTACCGGTTTTCGCAATGGTCGTAATGGTAACAAATAACACTAATTAAATAAGTAAAGAGATTATTACATTTTTCAGGAAATAAATTTTATTTTGATTTCAATTAAAAGGTCTGTAGAGTTATAAACGGCGTTTTAAATATTTATGATAGATTATGTTAATGTAAGGAATGAAGCTGATGTGTACTTTGCTTTATTTTTGACAGGATTGTAGCAGTTAGTTTATGGTTTTCACACTAGATGTCACTAATTTGAATTAACTTGAAGACGGGAATAACAGCCGTTACAAAAAATAGAGTTTATTTCAGCGAATTGGCATGAAATGTTTTTAGTTAATAATTTTAGTAGGTAAGCCCGTGAGCCTATTACGCCGCATGTAATGTCGAACTCTGTGCTATTTATTACTTAATAAGTTTTCGAAAAAAGCTTCGCAGTTGTGCTTGCGATCACTCGATATTTTAC